CCTCAAGGATCAACCTAATGTCCTTTGCTGCAAATACGAAGACTTTCACAAGGTAACAAAATCAGAAAGAGATTTACATCACTCACTCACACTCACAGGCACTGCACATAAGTGCCCACTCGCTAAGAATTGAAAAACAACGGGAAAAATACCAAGTCTTATAACAATACGCACCCACTGACTAAGTTGTCATTCGGTGTTTCATTGGATTGATCAGGCGCGGATCCAGGATTTCTTAGGGGGGGAGGCCTAAATTTGAAATTATGCGAGTCAAATATTGGTACGTTATGGTGACCAGCAGTGACGTAAATGGGGGGGGGGGGATGTGGCTGCAGGGAGGGGCGAGTTTTTCCCCTACCTCCTCCGCGAAGCGCGGAAGCTTCGACATTTCAATAAATTATTAAAGAAAGAAGGCGATTCGTTGTACCGTTCCCAAAAATAATCCTCGTCTGAATTATGTTCCCCCCCCCCCTCCCGCGCGAAGCGCGGAAGCTGTAACGTTTCATTAAAGGACCACTGCACTACTTGTAGCTACTTGCGCCCTCTATACAACAAACAATGCCTAATCGGTGACCATTGGTCCCCCATGATCCTCTTTTTCTTATGTTAACTGAGAGCTGAGTTGATGAGATAACCACCTGTCCTGTGACCTTGAAGGGCAGTCTAATCCTTCCTGTAAACTACGGCAGATAAGCTTTAAATCATTAAAGAAAGAAGACGATTCGTTGTACCGTTCTCGACTCTTAATCCTTGTCTAAATTCAGTTCCCTCCTCTCCCACGCGAGGCGCGGAAGCTTCGACGTTTTATTAAATTATTAGAGAAAGAAGACGATTCGTATACCGTTCTTGACTCATAATTCTGTCTGAATTTCAATTTGTCTTTGTCTACTCTCTTTTCGTCCTCTTCCTTTTCACTCCTCTCTTTTTTGGAGGGACCACCTCACCCCCCCCCCCCCTGGCTACGCGCCTGCGGTCAGATGAACATATGTTGATACCTCGGAAGCTCAGGGGTTTAAGGCAATTATTTACGGTCAGATTAGCATTCAGGCTCCGCCTTTTAGGGCCCTAGGTGGGGTCCAGGGGGCAGAGCCCTGGAAGTTCAGGGGTTTCAGGCATTTAATTAGGTCAGATGACCACTATTTTGATACCTAATTGTGACACTGGCAGGTCACTAATTGGCGTGGGGTTCAGGGGGCGGAGCCCCCGGAAGCTCAAGGGTTTTAGGCGTTTAATTACGGTCAGATGAGTATCACAAGGCCGGCCCTAGGGCTCTTGGTTGGGTCCAGGGGGCAGAGCCCCAGGAAGCTCAGGGGTTTTAGGCGTTTAATTACGTTCAGATGAGCATTTTTCGATACCTTATTATTTTGTGGCACTGGCAGGACAATATTTGGCGTGGGGTCCAGGGGCAGAGGCCCCAGAAATCAGGGGTTTTAGGCATTAAATTACCGTCAGATGAGCATCTAAGGGCCCGCCTTAGGGCCCTAGGTGGAATCCAGGGGCAGAGCCCTCGGGTTTTTAGGCATTTAATCATGGCCAGATGAGCATATTTTGATACCTCGTTATAATGTGACACTGGCAGTTAACTATTTTTTCTTTCTTGCTCTCTTTCTTTCTATTTCTCTTTAATATATTTTTCAAAAAAGTGGGGGGGGGGGGAGGGGGGGGGGCCTCGAGGATCCCGATCCCCGCCGTTCCGCGGGCCCTGACATGTAGGCATCTCAAGAAGCATTTTCTTGCCTGGCTGTAGATTTAGGAATTTGTCATTTTCCAACAAACGCATAAAAAAGTATAATTTACTTAAAAGTGAGGAAAAATCTCGGAAAATGATGTCATTTCAGCATTATTTGTAAACCACCTTTATGGAATTAGAAATAAACCACGTTTGAATTTTATTTCCCCAAAGCCCCCCCCCCCCCCCCCCACACGATCTACACCTTGTTGGCGGGAAAATTGCAACTGATATCCCTTACCTTTCGTCATTCTCTTTTTTCTTCTTTCCCTTTCACTCCTCTCTTTTTTGGAGGGACCACCTCACCCCCCCCCCCCCCTGGCTACGCGCCTGCGGTCAGATGAACATATGTTGATACCTCGGAAGCTCAGGGGTTTAAGGCAATTATTTACGGTCAGATTAGCATTCAGGCTCCGCCTTTTAGGGCCCTAGGTGGGGTCCAGGGGGCAGAGCCCTGGAAGTTCAGGGGTTTCAGGCATTTAATTAGGTCAGATGACCACTATTTTGATACCTAATTGTGACACTGGCAGGTCACTAATTGGCGTGGGGTTCAGGGGGCGGAGCCCCCGGAAGCTCAAGGGTTTTAGGCGTTTAATTACGGTCAGATGAGTATCACAAGGCCGGCCCTAGGGCTCTTGGTTGGGTCCAGGGGGCAGAGCCCCAGGAAGCTCAGGGGTTTTAGGCGTTTAATTACGTTCAGATGAGCATTTTTCGATACCTTATTATTTTGTGGCACTGGCAGGACAATATTTGGCGTGGGGTCCAGGGGGCAGAGGCCCCAGAAATCAGGGGTTTTAGGCATTAAATTACCGTCAGATGAGCATCTAAGGGCCCGCCTTAGGGCCCTAGGTGGAATCCAGGGGGCAGAGCCCTCGGGTTTTTAGGCATTTAATCATGGCCAGATGAGCATATTTTGATACCTCGTTATAATGTGACACTGGCAGTTAACTTTTTTTTCTTTCTTGCTCTCTTTCTTTCTATTTCTCTTTAATATATTTTTCAAAAAAAGTGGGGGGGGGGGGGGGGGGGGGGGGGGGGGGGGGGGGCCTCGAGGATCCCGATCCCCGCCGTTCCGCGGGCCCTGACATGTAGGCATCTCAAGAAGCATTTTCTTGCCTGGCTGTAGATTTAGGAATTTGTCATTTTCCAACAAACGCATAAAAAGTATAATTTACTTAAAAGTGAGGAAAAATCTCGGAAAATGATGTCATTTCAGCATTATTTGTAAACCACCTTTATGGAATTAGAAATAAACCACGTTTGAATTTTATTTCCCCAAAGCCCCCCCCCCCCCCCCCCCCCCCCCCCCCCCCCACACGATCTACACCTTGTTGGCGGGAAAATTGCAACTGATATCCCTTACCTTTCGTCATTCTCTTTTTTCTTCTTTCCCTTTCTCTCCTCTTTCCCTTACCCTTCCCTTCCTTCTCCCTCTCTCTTTAAGGTTTGCTGGGGGGGGGGGGGGAGAGCAAGATCATTTCGACCCCCACCCTGCTCCACTCATTGTTGGCGGGATTAACCGCAACTGATCTCCCCTTCTCTTCTTCCTTTTCTTCTTCCTCTTTTTTGTTCCCTTTTAGCTCTCCTCTTTTCCTTTTCCTTCCTTCTCTCTCTTTTTAGCGGGGGCGGGGGGGGGGGGGGCAAGAGCCTTTTGCCCCCTCCTGATCCACAACTTGTTGGCGGGAAAATTGCAACTGATATATCCCCCTTCTTTTCTTTTCTTCTTCCTCTTTTTTCCTTCCCTTTACCTCCTCTTTTCCTTTTTTCTTTCATTTTCCTCCCCCCCCCCCCGATCTCCATCTTCCCTCTTTTCTTTTCTTCTTCCTCTTCTTTGTTCCCTTTCTCTCCTCTTTCCCTTTCACTTCTTTTCCTTCTCTCTCTCTCCCCCCCCCTTTTTTTTGGCGGGGGGGGGGGGGGCAAGGCCCGCTCGACCCCCCCCCCCTGGATCCGCGCCTGGGATTCATCATAGGACTTTGGTAGCTATTGTAATTACATAGGGTCTTACTTAACAAGGGTGACCACATCCCCTTCCTGTGGGTCCTGCAATGTTCATATTCACTTCCCCCGGCTTTGCCAGGTGCCCATCTACACCTGGATGGAGTGTGGTATGTGGATTAATGGCTTGACCAAGTAGTACCATGCTGGGATTCGAACCGTTAACCCTTTGATTGACCCGTATACATTGTATTTCAATAGTCAGAATCCAGATTGCATACACAACGGGCAAACCATGGACCTATTACGGATGGACATTCAACGTGATTCTTTCTTTGATCCAAAGATAGTCACCGCCTTCTTATTATGTGCATCTTAATGCGAACATTCAGCTGTTATAACAATAACGACTGCGTAAGCATTTTCGGGCATTGACAAAGGAGCAGTTTCCCTCTCTTGGGTTTTGTTTGGATGATGTGCTCTTTAAGAGTATGTCTTCAATAAAAACATCCCCAATGGGGAGCAGCAAAGTTGAAAAGCAGACGATTTGGGTGATACGAAATTTATTATAACTGATTTGCACACTTTTGCACGCACCAATTACCTTATAAAACAATTAGAAGGCCATGATCTGCATAAGCTCTGTGCGTTTTAATTTTGGAATATTATGAGGAAATTGGGGAAACGGGATTTTAAATTACAAACAATCCAAACAAAACCTATCTGGTAATATCAACATGTTTTTCAAAAATAGAACACAGTACGTACACGGAACAACAATTTCCAATTATTAACCAAACAGACTGCACATCGACTTCCCGTGATTTAAGCAATTTATTATCTTCTGCGCATGTAGATTAACATGTTTAATATCACTATCTTGATTCTGTCCCGGCTTATTGGCGGTGACCATCATGAGATCAAAGTGAAGAAACATGTACGGAATGTTAATTAGACGACATTGGCGGAGGCAATCACAATGAATTCGTTAAGAAAACGATGAATGTCCATTCGTAATAGGTCCATGGTCCTACCTAACAATACATAATTAGTGCAAATCACATTCTGACTATTAAAATGCAATTATTCGTAAAAGGTGAATGAAATAATTTGTAACGAGGCACTTCACAAATATTATTTTGCGTTTTAAATTTGTATAACATTACGAAAATGGTATATTGGTACGACCCGCCATCCCCCCCCCCCTCAGCGGCTAAAAACATTATTAGTAGTAGTAGTACATGTAGTAGTAGTAGTAGTAGTAGTAGTAGTAGTAGTAGTAGTAGTTTTATTACTATTATCCTCATAATCACTATTATTATGTATAGGACTTGAGAGGGAGCATCAAACGCGTAGCCGATTTCTTGGGGCGCCCTCTTTCGGCTGAAAAGCTGGATAAGATGGTTGAGCTGACTGAGATGAAAGGCATGAAGAAAACTTACCAAGAAATTGAGGAGAAAATGGGAGACACGGGAAGATTGGTGACAAGGCTATTCGGACAATTGCCCTATCTTCGAAAGGGTATATTCAAGTATTTTCTAATTAGGTTTCAATACAGATATTTTAATCTTTAGATTTCAATATCTGCCTATGCTTATTTTGTAATTTCTTTTTACGAACTTCATTCGATACGTATGTCTGTTGCACATGGGGGGGGGGGGGGGGAGGGTCCAGCCCCTGACCCCCTTTAAAGTTTACCAATCTCCAACAAATATTATGCTCTTTAAATTTCTTTTTATATGTCGTTATACTATTGAAAACATGAGCTTCAACCATTACTTCTGTAAAGATATTTTGCAACTTTAAATACAGTTGTCTCTCACTTCAAATAAAAGCCTCTAATCTTGTGCATTAAACTACTCGATTCACCAGTATGCGCTCTTTACATAATGGCAACCACGGTGCCAACACGGCTGGCAGAACCCATATGTTATTCTTTATTTTCTACATATTATATTAGGGCCTATTCTTTATCCGTTAGCCCAGAAATGTTTTTGTAGGTGATTTGCATAATTTTTAACTTCTGTGTCATTGTTCAAATATAAACTCCAAAACCCAAACTTATCTCCCACTACTTAAGAGTAAAAGATGAAAACAAATTTTTATTTTTGTGTGGTAATATTGCTTGCCTGCTTGTAGGAATATCGTGCCCCCTCTTTTACACAATTCTGGAGCCGCCCTTACATCTTATATGCACTATATGCCTGTGTATTGAGGGATTCTTAATTGATTCTTTTTTTTTTTTTGCTTCTATTCCAGGTAAAGTTGGCGGGTGGAAGGACGAGTTCACCGTGGCTGAAAACGAATATTTTGACAAGATTTACCAACAGAATATGGAAGGAAGCGGTATAGAATTCCAGTTTGAGTTGTAACACCAGTTGTCACATGTTTAAAATCTTAATCACTGCACTAAATTATTTGAGGAGGCGCGATAGCTCAGTTGGTAGAGCAATGGTCTTGTAATCCGTCGACCCGGGTTCGATACCAAAGCGATTCGCGAGTGCCATTTGGTAAGCCATTAATCCTCATTACCAGCTAGCCTGAGCTAGGTGTCTCGGAGAGGACCTTAAGACGTCGGTCCTATTGTTGCTTACTAACAAGCATTTATCCTTCTTAGCAGTCAGGTCAAATAACCACCATCACCACCCAATTAGTACATTTTACAGACTTATTTCGAAATTAAAATCCATCATGAACGTTTTGAGGAAAGTGACCTAAATTCCTTTATACTACAACGCAGTCGCATGCAGAATTCAGAGAATGGCGATTTCAATAGCCCTATTGTGTTGAGAATAGAAATAAAAATGATGTAATTGTCACTTTAATCCGCACATCAAATTTGAAAAAAAATCACGCACATGGTTAATTAAAGTGACTTAGATTGACTTGTTAATATGTGATCGTCATTCTTGCTATATGCTGCTGATAACTTTGTCTTAATGATGATTTGAAGTCTTTTGTTAGTAGTGTTGTAAATGTTTAAATCTTTAAAGGTATGATAACGATTATAAATCTCGACATAAACATAAATAACATATAACATTACTCTATCTGCAACGCAATATTGACAGAATCAATATTGGTATGCCTGTTCGTCGTTATTGTTGTTGCTGTTGTTGTGTTTCTTTTTTTTCGGGAGGGAGGGCAATTACATTTCTCTTTTTTTAATTTGCTTACACTGGCATCACTAGAAGGGAATTGGTGAACCCCCTTCCCTTCCACTATTTCCTGTCAGAAAATGGTTAAAGGTAATACAAAGTTTTGGTATGGGGTCATGAATTTGGTTGAAATGAACATATTGGAAGCATATGCGATCCTACAATATTTAGTGATCGTTGTCGCGCTTGAAATCGAGTCTAAAGTGATGAAATTCTAAATAATAAAAGCTTTGTGTTCTATAGCGCCCTCTCAAGGTCAAGATATTAATTTAGCTAGGCGTTGTGGCGTGCGCCTGTAATCCAGCTAACAGTGGAAGTTACAAACTGATTCAGCCGAGGACGCAGGTTCGAAACTGAGTCACGTCTTTCGGATGGTGACGTTAAAGGTCGGTCCCCAGACGTAAATAATCATATCTGATTGATACACGTCTGTAAAAACCAAATACACACACACACACACACACACATATAAAGCGATGTTATTTGACTAAAATCGACAGATTTGCTGTTGCCGTTTGGAATATATATATCATAATTGCATATTCTGAGATTTTCATGGTCGCAGCTAGCATCGTATGGCCGTAGGCGCTATTTGAAATTTATCAAAATTTACCGGAAGCACCGGTAAATTTTTATATTCAATTTTTCTGGAAAGCAGAAGTGTTTTAGAGGCTAATTTTTTTGTGTGCTTATAATACATCCATAGAGGCATCCAAATATATGAAAATTGTAAAGAATCACTATCCAGCCAATTTTCAAAATTTACCAAAACTTTGTAATACCTTTAATGCAATGGTTGAAATTGCCAGGTTTTTCGAAGTAAATGATGAATTTTAACCATTGCAATAACAGATGTATTCACAATAAAAATTGCATTACTATAGGTTTTCCCGCCTAATTTCATCAGAGTTGCATTCGAATTCATGAATAGGCGTTCACTCTCTGCTCTCATAGTTCATTTTCATTCTTTGAGCATTCAATTTCGTTTCGTATCATTCCTTTTAAATTTTATTTCATTCAATTTAGAGAGAAATCCATTCAATTTAATAATCCGAAGTTGTCATGCAATTTCGCGCCAGCTGGATAGACGTTCAATTTCGTCCTTAATAGCAATTTCAATTTAATTTATAGGCACACACCTTCGCACTTTGGACGTTCTAATTAAATTAACATCAAGTTCTGTAGTTCTATGTAATTCTTACTGCATTTTTTGTAACTGTTATTAATTATATAATTTAATTTTCATTCCATTTTATTCCATAATTTAAGTTCCATAATGTTTCTTTTAATCATATTTGATATATTTCTTTTCTTTCTATTCGAGAAAATCGAGCCGCCGGCCGCCATAGTCATGTTTAAATGAATGTATGCGTATGAAAGTGGAGTTATACGAGCTTTTGCTTCAATGACGGTTTGTCAGAGGAATGAGATATTTCAATATAAGGCCAAAGTCCCATTTCCAGGTACATACAATTTACATAATATATTCAAACAGCTAGATGCAGATTGCAAAGAATGTTGACATCGGTGATCATCTAAATTCGCTCGAAAAAGGATGATCGCATCGTTAATCGGATGCAATTCTAATGAAAATGGGCGGGGAAAACTACGTACTTGCCCTAACCCTCAAGTTACTACTGTATAGCAACTGCTGACTTACCTTTTTCCTTTCCTTTTCTCGCCTGTAGCTAGCTTTCAGCTTACAGTGAAAGTTTAAAGTCTGTTTAAATTATGTCTGTATGCTTTTAAAATACTCAATCATCTGGCACCTCAATATCTTAATGACACCCTCCAAATATATACACCAACTCGTAATCTTCGTTCAGCAACCGACACATGTAAACTTAACATTCCCAAATCTAGACTCTCAGCAGCTGAAAAACGCTTTGCAGTAGCTGCATCAAAGACTTGGAACAGCATCCCTCTTTCCATAAGGGAAATTACCTGTCTTGCCACCTTCAAAAGATCCCTCAAAACTCACCTTTTCCCCAATGATCTATGTGATATACTTCCTGTACTGTACTTTTTTTGTCCTCTTTTCATATATTTGTATTTGTAAGCGCTATGGTACTTACTGTTTTTAGCGCTCCTAAATATTCGATATTATTATTATTAGTAGTATGTCTATTTTTCTTTCTCCGCCCCCCCCCTCTCCATTTCTATATCCCACGTTATTATCACTCTTATCGCCCCCTTTTGTACAGTCTGTTCTCCTCTCCCTGTTTTTTATTACTCAGTTAAACCATGTTTATAATTATATGGTTATAGTTTATAGTTAATTGTTTTTGTACTTAAGCGCCTTTGACGAACATTTCTTGTAATAATCTGTTATATAACCAGGCTGTTCTTTGTTGTTGTCTTTATGTTATTGTTATTCTTCGTTTTTTCTTACTTAAATGCATTATATGAACTTGTTCCTTATAAGTGCTCCTTTTATATACTTTTCATGTTATAAATTTGTTAAATTGTATTAAATTCATGTCCGAAGAAAGACAAATAAACTTGAAACTTGAAACTGAAGATTTTGTTGGTATCATCATCATGTATTTATCAATTATAAAAATAACAAACCATCTTTTTTGATGGAGGCTTACAAACACTGTACAAATTCACATAAAAAAAAAACAATCTAATAAACGACAACAACAAAGGAAGAAACAACATAATAGTACATGTACATGAATAAAACAATAGTTGCACTGAAGAAGAGAATAATTTGGGGGTTCAATTTATGGGGGACATTTTTACTTACAAATATTCATGTACTCGTACACACCAAGTACATGCTGTTAGTTTGTTCAGCCTTGGAACATTGTTCGGCTAAGCATTAGGAAAAACCTAAGGAGTTGTGAAGATAAATTTAATTGATTTTATTTCCTATAAGTATCAACTTTAAGGAGTTATGAAGATAAATTGACAGCAAATATGCTATATTAACTTCACACTTCATTTGATCTAAGCAACATTACATGAACTATGAACCCTACGTCACGATCATAATGCATTCAAATGTCAAATGCGGTTGGTGAAATTTAGGGACCAAATGCTGATAGCTTGGATATGCCCAAATAAGAAATACATGTACATGTAGGATAAAGGGCTATTGTGCCAAGCCACAAATCCCCCCATTGCCAAGTTATAACGAGATAATCAGATTAACGCGATGGTACTATCAATAGCGCGTGCAAAACACTAGGCACAGTACAATGAGCATGAACAACTCTGCACAAGTTAAAGATGCAAAGGATTTTCCCAAAGTCCAATCAGTTATACAAAAAATGTTATTTACACTTCCTCAGTCGAATTTGCAAATTAAAACTACTTCTTGCGGTTCCAACAGATTTGCCTAATGGAGGGTTAACTGCAAATATGAAAGAATTTTGATTCCAATATTCAGAAATGACAGGTCAAGGTTAAAATATAGGCCTTCATGAACTTGAAAGGGCTAGTCCACTTTCAAATAAATTACTTTCAATATAAGCAGAAAAATCACACAAACAAATCCAAAACAATTGAGCAAAACCGGATTACTAATACAAAATTGTGTGAATTTTTATGACATGAAAAACTTTGAAAATCACCACACAAATTGGCAACTCACTCATGAGTCTGTGACGTCATCTCTTTAGAAAACGCATATCTTCTTGTTTCCCTTCTTCCATAAGTATTTGCAAAGGTTTGGCAGTTACTTGCAATTTGTTTGATTTGCCAAATGACATAAAAAGGTTACATGTTACGATAAATAAATTTTCAATCGAAGATGTCAATTTCCCCCTCAACTCCCCCGAATTGATCTTCAATGCCCCAGGCGTAAAGGGTGCAAAGTTAAAATTGAAACATTATCTCATCGAGCAATGCAACATTTATTTCTGAATATAAATCATTACTTACTTCAATACAGTTAAAACAAATAAAACAGAAAATTGCCAATGTATTTCACTGAATAATATCAAAATGACGCAAGTGAATATATACATACACATACACAGCATGGAATGATTTCAATGTTATTACAATATTTTTACACTACTTGTATAATGAGATTGCACAATTTTTATTTGTTAAACATTAATATCATGAAATAAATGTTGAGTTCAGGAAAAGGTGAAAAATAATTTCCGAGCTTTCAATGAGATAACAGTTTCTTGCAGATCAGGGCCGTGTTTCATAAAACTTGTTATCAATAGCATGTAATTTTTATAAGGTACTGAAATCTTTAAATTTGATTGGTTACAAGCAGATTTATCATAGATCTTTGGCAGATATTATTCAATTCAGTTCAATATCATTTCACCAAAGCGATTACATAAACTATAAAATACATTAATAGAACTATACATTGTTACATAACAGAATATAATTCATGTATATACATTGGTACAATAATATGAAAGTAGCTTGGCAGGTAGCAGCGAGAAAGGAAGTGATCCTTAACCCTATTTAACCCGGGCTATTTTGAAACTGCGTAGCCCGGGGGGGGGGGGGGGGGGCTTCTAAGGCCCCCCCCCCATGATCTCGGCCTTGAAACGCCCGATCGCCGCGAAAATTTGCATACATGTCAAGTGAAGTGTATAGAATACTATGGTAATTTCAATTTTTTGAAGAATTCACTCATTTGCATATTTACGGTAATTTATGCAAATAAGTTCATCAAATTCACATTTTTGCCCATAAATCAGACATTATTCATATTTAAGCATTCTTTCTCACTACATATATTTGGTAGACCATTTGGAATAATAATACAACACAACAAATTGAAAAACCAGGGTTATTTCTTATGTTATCTATTGTTTTGATAATTTCTCATGTATTTCTTTGTTTTTTTAACTTATGTATTTTAATGTTTTTGTTGTTTTATTTCATTTCCAACTATAATTTAACTATTTTGACCCAAAATAAACATCTCAACTATAAACAAGACCAAATAACCATTGCTTTATCTCTTTATTTGAAAAATGAGATTTCCATATGTTGTGTACACAAATCACAAAAATGAGCGATTTTAGGGCTGACATGCAAAGACAAAAGGACACGTGACTTTGTAATGGTAGGTCCGATTTTCAAAAAATTTCTTTCAAAAGATGCGCAAGACTCGAAAGAAAAAAGTCACAAAATTTCAGTGCAAGATTATCTTGCGTTAAAAAATTATCGTGACAAATGTCGAGGGGGGGGGGGGCTTCTAAAGCCCCCCCCCCCCCCCGGGCTAAATAGGGTTAAGAGTTATTGATAACAAGATTTATGAAACAGGGTCCAGATTGATATAAATTTTCTTCATTTCTTCTTCTTCCATCATAAATTGTCAACTCGTTTTAATGATACATGATTGAATTACAGTCAGTCAGCCACTCAATAGTGTCTCACAAGTCAAGTCTAAAAAGTAAACAGGTTTACTTTCATGATTTGAATACCAGGACACTGCAAATATTTCAATTTCACAAACATGACATAAGTGACATATTCATAATTCATGCACAGTTCTACAAAATTTGATAGTGGCTGCAAGGGATACATTACCTTTAATAGAAGATGGCTGGAACCCCTTATCACAAACATTCCAGACATAGGCAAAACGTTTGTCAAATCGCTCTTTTGGGAGAGTATGAACAAGCACTAGTGAAAATGGTAGCTACGTGCAGGCTTGAGATTAATGAACGTTTTCTTCATCTCTTCCGTCATTGGTTTCTTAATCTGAATAAACCTCTCTCCTTTCGTTGAACAGACTTGGTTGTTCAAGTATCTCACCATCTTTTTCTTTTCCTGTAATTCAGAAGGATATAAAAAGAATACAAAAGATTTATTTCATTTAATTTCAATTTTTTCATTCTCCATAAAAAAAATTAAACATACAAACATGATATGCATATAAAAGATTGATTCCAAGAAAAATACAAAGGGAAGAAGCAAACAAATTTTATGGGAATGTGGGGTTAACAAAAAGGGCAATTAGCCTTATGAACGTCAACCCCTTACGTCGACCCCTCAAAATACACGACCAGAACAGAATGCATAATCAATTATGGGTGCCAAAAATCTAGGCCTGGACCCCAACAATTTCATGGCTCAAGCACAGAGACTTTTAAAATATAAATTTTTACCCTGTTCAAAATTTTTTTAGTGTGGAGTCCCAGGTGAAAGCACTAATTTTCATTTTTTGGCCCCATTCGTGAGAAAATAATTTTTTAAAATTGATCGGAGGGGGGGGGGGGGGGGGGGGGGGGGGGGGGGGGGGGGGAGGGCTAGGTTAGGAAAAAGAAGACGCGGCTTAGACCCGTTATTGTGCAAACAATTGATATGAAATGGAACAGATTTGAATCAATCAATCAATAAAAAAAAACGTAGAAAGTACCCTACCTGTTTTGGAGCCACAGGTTTGTGGGTAACGGAGTCGTCCTTGACGTCTACGTAGCCATATTTCTGGAGGATTGAATCCTTAACCTGTTTGTCAACGTGACTGGCCTTCTTCATGGTACACTGAAACAGAGAAAGAAAAGAACATTTCGAGGGTTCAGTGACACAAAGACGTAACTGTTGCCAAAATGAGTATTTGATATTGTTGATATCATAATGTTCAGAAAAATGTGGGCTTTCCAAGAAACAAGACTTAACTCCACCCAACACTCCATTGAAGTCAATGGCTAGTGAAACAAAGACTTAACTCCTTAAGGCTCAAGTGCTCAGTGACACATACACAACTTTTTCTCAAAATGGCCTAAATGGAGGTACGTCTTCATGTCACTAACCCCTCGATTTGGGCTAACAAGATTGCATAGCACTATTTACCCCCGATGTGCCACTAGGTTTTCACATACAATAGTGTAAATTGACTTTCAGAAGAAGGCAACTTTTAAAGTTATGTTTTATGTTTGGGTATACAATATGTTTCATGGGAACAATATAATGAATGTTATCTTGTTTTCATTCGGAATGAAATAATACAATTATTAGCCTCAAATAGTTAAATCCCCCCCCCCCCTTGAAAAATCTGCGTACGCCACTGAAACTGTCTGGCTAACTGTGATTGCATAGTCCTATACGTGACTTGAGCTCATTCAAAGTAGCATGTGCAAGAAATATGCATATGATTGGCTGGGGCCTGATTCACAAAGCCTTTTTTCAATGGCAAATAACAAAAATCAGTGACAAAACTGCTAATAACCAATCAGAAGCAAGGATTTCAGTAGCTTATAACAAAAACTGTCATTTGTCACTGATGACAAGTTTTGTGAAACACTCCCCTGATCTATTCAAAGCCCCATTTCACCTCATCCTTCGTCTCTGTGGGAGCATTCTCTGCCCTCTCCATCTCAAGAAGCATGAGATGAACCGCATCCTCCAACCGGCCTTTGGCTGTTACTAGGCAACGACAAGCCTCCAGGGAGCAGGATGCAGGGAACATTTCAAGGAGCTGCTTAACTTGAGCATCGTCATCTTCCTCACTCTCCCCGAACTTCAAAAAGAAATATAAAAACACTTAACAATAAAGTTGAGCTCTGGTCATGCGATTGCATTGTGAAATAAAAAGGTGTGGAATGGATCAGAAAAAGTTGATCATGTACATGTAGCAGTATTTAGTAGTAGTTAGTATTGGTGTGTACTGCAAGTTCTGGAGTCATCAAAATCATAATAAATTTGACCCAGTCTTGGTAAAGTAACAAGCACTGTACACAGAAAGATGTATATGGGACTACACAAATGGTGTCGGGGCTACTAACCTTGATTTCCTTATCTGTCTATGCTCATTACTCAGCCAGTATACATTTTCTACCAAAATTGTTTGACAAATGACATTTATTTGTACTCTTGAACATTCAGTGTAAGTTTTTGATTCTTTGAGAATTCATTTTCTTTTTTTACCAGAACTCAAGTCATTTCACATTTCATTCTCCTTTTTTTAATATTACTAATAGAACAAAATGGTACAGTTTGAAGTTTATGTCTCTTGAAAATTTAGCGAGATGGATGTTCAAACAAATATTGCTAAATAGACTTGTGTGTCTCTGTGGCAGAGGCTTGTAGCTGAACAGCTGGAAGTTTTGGAGCTAGAGATTTTTGTGCTGAGATCAAAAGTTTAACTCTGAAATATATCACAATTACCTCTTGTTTATCAGGACCCTGACCTCCGCTGACCTCTGATAGGGCCATCCTACTTGAAGCTCCAGCATGCGAGGGCAGGCTCACCTCAGGAAACACAATATCAGGTTTGTTTTCTAGTTACAGTTAAATGAGAGGGAAGATGGTACATTTGTTTAAAATACACACAAATTCATGTAGTTCTACATAGTATAGCTGTACTACAGTTATATATTAAATATTTGTTATTTACACTTTCCAAATCAAATTTTGCATAAGTTGAACTATTTTTGTGGTCCAAATAGATTTTAATTATGCAAAATTAGCTGTATTATTGAGCTAGCTCAGCGAAATGTGCTTCCTGTAACATCACGAAAAGTCCTGTCCTGGGGAGTGTTTCACAAAGACTAAGATCGACTTTAAGTTGGACTTAACTATGGCAGGCCGTTCATTCCACTAGTTCCTCTAACTATTCCTGGCATTGGTTCTGAAGGGACGTACAAATCATGGTCACAAATCCACAGAATTTACATCTTTTGATACTTCATTATTGAAGGAAAAAAAGGTTATTGAAAGATCATAATGGTGAGAGCGACCAGTGGCAAGAATGGCCTGCCATAGTTAAATCCAACTTAAAGTCAATCTTAGTCTTTGTGAACCACTCGCCAGGACACAGAAGGCATAATACTGATGATGGCTGAGAAATATTCTAATTTGACAGTTAAGCCAATATAAAGTCGAATTATCACAAGGGAGAGGTCTTTACACATTCTAGGGATGTGGTTAAATGCATCTTGCATATTAGAATTTAGAAGCATCTTGAATTGGTGCCACCACGTTTTCACTTAGCTGCACCTAGACTCTAGAAGTGGTTAAATTCATGTTAAATTAATACCTTTACTGAACGTTTCATTTTAAATAGTCTGTAAAATCAAAGCGACTAGGAATGATGTGAACAAGCCTGCAGGGAAAAACTAACCAAGATTTCAAACAAACCTCTTTCTTTGGACTTTGAGAGCTCATCTGCCAGCTCGAAAACCCATTCACATATGGTGTCACTAAATATAAATACAGAAACAAAAAGAACAAAAATTAATAGGGATCTAATAGTACAATCATGACTCTTTCATAGAGCACACATTTATATTCTTCTTTTACTGGGGAGTGTTTTACAAAGACTAAGATCGACTTAAGTTGGGCTTGAACTATTGCAGACTGTTCATTGTGACATGACACTTTCGCAAATTGTTACGAAGAGCCATTTTCACAGCCAAAAGATATCATGAATTGCATTAATGCAGTGTTGTGTCAGCTGTGATCCTATATCGTGTATGTCAAATCTGAACAACTTGTGAAATTCAGGAACATTTTTATGGATGGGAAAGTTTCGGTGTTAAGCCCATCGGTACTAGTTTGGCCAGAAGGGATTAGACCTCCCTTCATGGTCACTGACAGGTGGTTATCTCATCAAATCAGCTCTCAATTATTAAACATATAAAAAAGGGGACCATGGGGGACCAACAGTCACCGATTAGGCATTGCTTGCCATATAGAGGGCGCAAGTAGCTATACGTAGTGCAGTAGGGCTTTAAAGTATGTGATTCTGTGATGTTATCAAATGCATTCATTACCTACTGACATCCTCAAACCCAGGAATGTATGCCTGCATCATCTCTACGAAGCCCTCAACCTCAAATCCATCATCACTACCAAGATCTTCGAAGACACCCAGCATATAGGAGAGTACGATGTCATCAATACCCCTGGCAAAAAAGGAAAAAGGAAAAAGGAAAAAGCGAGAAAAAGAGGATTAAGAAACAACAATGAATTCAACAACTTCTTAATAGTCCCTACGCAGCACGAATGTCCTTAGACAAGACATTCATCTACATTTGTCACTCTCTACCCAAGAATCAAATGGGTACCCAGAAAGATGCATACATGTACGTTAATGTGTTTGGAATGGCATGTGGGCCCGTTCCAAATGGCACCTGGGGGGTGTTTCACAAAACTTGTCATCAGTGACAAATGAAGTTTTTGTTATAAGCTACCGAAATCCTTGCTTCTGATTGGTTATCAGCAGATTTGTCACTGATTTTTGTCATTTGTCATTGAAAAAAGGCTTTGTGAAACAGGACCCTGGTCTGAACATTCCCCAGAGAGCGGAGTGTGTGCATTATCATGCGTGGATCATTTAACAATTGAATTGAATGACTTGGGTTTCGGGGTAATAATACAGATGCGACTAATATTGCTTTTATTGTAATACCGAGGTCTTGTTCGTCATCTACATGTACATGTACATATACATGTAACCTGCATTAGCTTTAGCACGCACCTGCATTAAAGGCCACACCTTTCATTTCCCTTGAAAATTGTACTTCATTAAGGGTAAAGACCAGTATTGGAAAGGCCCAAATTTCAAAAAATGAAATGAAAGCTCTTATTACCAATCGTGTGAAAGAGTATGTTTTGACTAATACATGATGATAAAAATTTTGCCGGGAAAACGCCTACAATGTACTAATTGATATATTTGGTAAATTAGTTTATCTATTGGTATGTGAGAGATAAACGCAGGTGGCGCGCATGTGTGCGTAGTCCCATATACATATTTCTGTGTACTGTGCTTGTAACTTTACCAAGACTGAGCCAAATTTATTATCATTTTGATGATTCCAGAACCTTGCCTTACACACCAATACTTAAATGCTAGATGATCAACCTTTTCTGATCGATTCCACAACGTTTCTTTCACAATGCAATCGCATGACCATAACTGGTCTTTATCTTTAAGCAGCCAGGGGGCCGTTTCTCGAAACCGTCATAACTACAAGATCAACGACATCTCGCCACTGTCACGCAACTTGTCAGCTAAGTGTTTCACAAAGCCGTCTTTGCCAAGATGAGCGACAACTTCTGCGACAAGCGAGTTGTCACTGCTGCGAACCTGTCATATCTTTTTAATTGCTGTAAAGCGCCATCACAAGTCAGTTTGTTGCTATTCCATGGGCGGCAAAATGTACGATTAGTTTCACTATCATTTCGAGAAAAATATAGACGAGTTCTGTACGTAATTCTCTGGGATGCGAAATGCAAATGTAAAAAAGTGATAATACAAATTATACAGAAATTTTAAAAAGCTGAATATAAACATTACATCACAAATAAATAAGAGAGATAAGAATGTTACACACAGTTTTCCATACTCGATCCATAGTCTTTTCTTAGGATACCGTCATACCTTTGGGGCCTATGTGCATTATTATTTCCTCTCTAATTACTTCTTCCAAATTATATTTTCAATATCAAATCAATTATATAACAAGTATTTATGAGACTCTAGAATAAAAACTGTCTGAGAAAAGGTATTTTGCCTAAAATTCCTCGTCACAAAAAATAAAAAAGTATGTATTGATAAACTATCACATTACGGTATCCTTCAACTAACTTTTTATTCGACTGTCAAAAAAAAAACACAACGGTTTTTCTTCAATTTAAGAATCTTTACAGAAATATGCAAATCATTTGGTGATCTACATTTGATAATGACACTATTTATTATTTATTTTAGGAGAATTTATATGTATATATTTCTTTTTGAACAATTTTAGCCCCAAAACTTGTTTTGGGTTATTCTTGATAAATCAAATGGATCGTGACAAAGAATATGTTCTTGAGCTGCTAGTATCGCGATATATCAATGTCATGTCCGTCATGGCTTTGTGAAACGGTTTATCTACTTCATGACATCTCCGTAGGTCGCCGACAAAGATATGATTGTCATGGAGTTGGTTTCAAGAAACGGCCCCCAAGAGTATATGTAGCTGTAGAGTCTACAGAGTCTATATGGATTTCACTGTACCATTATCATGAATTCATTGAATAAACTTACTCTAAAGAAGCTTCAGGAATATGGCAAGTCACAAAGCTAGAGAGAGATGTCTTTACACGATCAGTTGTATCAGAACTCCCGGCTGCTGCCATCTTGGTCCGGCAACGAGGCAAGTTGAAGTTGATTCCAACTTGATTTCCCAATATCTGGAATATTCAGAGACCATGGATGATGAAGGCAGACCTGCAAAGTCAACAAGATGAAAATAGGCGAAAATATTACCTGGAATATTCAGAAAATAAGCACAATTTTGATATATCGAATCAAACTACCATGTATACATGTACATGTAGGCCTTGACATCTGGCATCCAAGTTCCAACGTCAACTCTAGTACATAGACCTCAATTAGTAGGCCTAGTCTTAGACATTCCTTTAAAAAAGGTGACGTTTGTCAATATTAGAGCCAGATGTAATCTCAGCAGAACCGTCGATATCAGCTATCAGAGACTGAAGCTTTCGATCTAGCCTAGTCTCTAACAAGTAATAGTAACACTAACAGTCAGTGTGAGTGTACAATGAATGGTCTAATCTTGACTAAGACTCTACTCTACTAATAGTAATACTAGGTGTTGTCTGTTTCATGTTGTACACTCGGCACTTGACAAGGACAAGGTACGATATTACGCCAACGGCGGACTGTACTATACTGGAAGAAGAAGAAGAAGAAGAACCTCCTCCTTCCACAAATCGCAGTTACCATGGAAGAATCCTGGGTCGATGAACAGGCTTAGACCTACAACATCATGTATTAAAGAAAAGTAAATAAAGTAAGTATTACTATCTCTTCTTGAACTTAGCTTAGTTGAAGTTGAATATTACTTGTTGTTCAAGTTGTTGCAGTAAATTCTAATCCCAATCGTCCGATCACAGCTCCGTACCTGGCTTGGTATTGGCATCTAAGTTATGACAGGATGCCAATCATGTTGCAATCATGTTATGTTGCAATCATGTCATGACTCATGTGCCAAGTTTGTGTTATTTCACTTTTTATATATATACCCAGATCAAAGTAACGGTCGTTGCATGTCAGGACAGGTTTTGTATCCGGACTCCAATTGGAGTACCGGGTCCCGTGCCGCACCCCTGGGATGGGGATTCCCCGGCCCGGCCCGGCCAGCTCAGGCCAGTTGCTGGTCAGCTAGATCTACTACAGTTGATTTCATTTTAAAACGGCACTTTTAATAAGTTTAGATGTAATATTTAATAAATATTTCAAGATTGATGTGCTATTTGACGCTTACATTTCGTTAAATCCAAAGGCAAAAGTGGTGGCATTTTTGTTAAGCGTAGGCTACGTCCGTACGGACGCAAAAGCCCCCATCGCATCGGCATCGCCTTCCGGGCCGCGCGTTTCCGTTTTACACCCTGCCCTAGGCTTTTCGGCAAGAAATTACACGAAACATGCTGTATCCGAAGTCTAAGTTTGTTTATATCGACGTCAAGAATAGCGAAGCCAAAGCTTATGTACAATTTCAATTGGGGATGCGAGGGTCTTCTTGTTCAAGACGGTTTTCCCGATATATTATTGTTTTGTTATCGCTGGGCTAAATTTTGCGAGCTGATCACGCATCCTCACGCTCTTAGAGTATTGCGTATTAATGGATAAAAATAAATGATACGACTAGGAAGATCAACTAGTCTAGTTAGTATAGAGAGTTAGCTAGCGCTACGTGACGTTTTCAGAGTTCTGGTGGTGTGCAGAGCGCCGAGGCAAGATGTGGACGACTAGACTCCGAATACCAGTCGGTTTGTAAAATTTTATTGGAGAAAAGCCTAGGGCAGGGTGTAAAACGGAAACGCGCTTCCGGGCCGCAGCCATCATCCGCATCACAAGAAATAAATAAAATAAATTAGGTCTATCAACATCAGTCTCATTTCTCAAACAATTAAACTGAAACACGACTTACTTCTTATCCTCAGCTCAGCTAGCAAAAGACTTCCTTTCGAAAATTATAAAGTTAACGTTTCTGATCAGTCCTTTAATCTAGATTTTGGTGAGTTTGTTTACAAATTTGGTTTCGTTAACTGGCCGCGCTCAAAATCCCGTCGACGGTAGCCTTAAGTATAAAAAAGAAAATGAAATTCTATTATCTTTAGTTGTTGTTGTTGTTGTTGGTAAATGTTTTATGGCGTTCATTCAGTAATGAATATATATGCCATAAATATCTTCAATTTTATTAGAAAATCAGTTATAGTCTTCATAAGAAAACTGAGAATAAAGATTTGTAATGAAATAATTAATTAATAATTAACGCAATTTATTCAGAGTCTCTGGATGGTTTGCAACTTCGTGTTTCTGCTTTTTAAAAGTTTAATCTGGTCAGCCCGGTTTCGATTGCATGGAAACTAGCTTTAGTATTATTATTAATTTATTATGGGCAACTATTTAGTCGTGTTTCAGGTTCATTTTTTAAGAAATGAGACTGATTTTGATAAACATAACTTAGTTTATTTGATTTATCTTTTATTTTTACTTCTTGTGATGGCTGATGCCCAATGCCGATGGGGGGTTTTGCGTCCGTACGTACGCTTAACAAAAGTGCCATCACTTTAGCCCTTGGATTTAACGAAATGTATGCATGTCCATGTTAATCCTTCAATAATTACCCAAGCAAAACTCGAGCTAGATGCAAATAAAGGTAAACTAAAAGACATTAATTCATGACATATTGGGCTTTAAGTTAAATGGATTATAAAAAGTTCATCAGTAGAATGGTATAGTAAATATTCGTTTAGCTTACCTTCTAACATCTTAAAGGGAGTGGGTAGTCAGTTTCCATGTGCAGAAGGCTATAATTCGCTGAGACCAGACTTGGTGGAAATACCATTAATGGGAGTACAAATCTGCACAAATCAAGAATTACCCCCTAGTCTCTCGGAGCATGCTCGGAGATTATTCGGGCGAAGGAAAAGCAAAGCATTACATAAGGTATAATGGTCATAAAACTCAAGGCTAACCCTGGTGATTGACAACACCTGTTATTTGGCTAAACACCCGAACGGTGTCGAATTCCCCATGAGGGCTGACTTCTATGTGACTTTAACTAGCCCTTCGACCCCCCCCCCCCCCCAACCTCCAACATAACAGCCTTACTCCTTGATGACACCGGGATGAAATTCGTTGCAAACTGCGACGCGTGATTCTCGTTGTCTATTGGCTCATTCACCTTTACCTTCCCAAAACTTTTAACCAACCGTCGAATGGCAGGAATTCTATATGTTGATTAACCAAGTGCAACAAATTAAGGCACTTAAAGGTACTATGTCCCTTTTGCAGCCAACCTCAAATTTTGCAGGAATTATGAATAATTATGTCATGTATGTCCTATCTCGTTAGCAGTGTCCTCATATTCAAATTATGCAAGGAAACCCGTTTACTTGCTAGACTTCACTGTCAGACACTATTGTGTGACTGACTGGCTTTTTTCCTGCTTTGGTAATAACATACATTAACAGAGTTGTAAAGGGTACATGAGCATTTGTCTACATCAATAACCCACTTCTTGTGATGGCCAAGATTAAACTGATTGAATCTTTGCGCAGCATAAAACGTATACCATTCAGTACAATTTTCTGAAAATCAAGATTATTACTTTTGGGCTCTATAGCCCTAAAGTCGATTTGACAACTAATAGTCGTTATTTTCCCACTTAAAGACATTTTCAAGCCCCCCTTTTTAGGGACGCTGTTAGATAGTATTATCTTTCAAATGCTGTTGGAATTTAACCTTTTCATTTTTGGGGGCCTGCATTGCATGTGATTGGCTGACAGATTATTTGTCATACCATTTTTAGTATTTCTTATTGATAAGAAGTTTTTTAAACAGGGCCGTGGTTATAGAGCAGGCAGTTAATGGTGTTGTCGAAAGGACACCTCGTGTGTAATTAGTTTAAGTCTTGAGAGATCGCGAAAAACTAATGGCACTGGCTTAAGCATTAATAGTAATAACAATTCTCTCCATCTTTCATCCCTATTAGAAAGTACACACTCTTGTCTTTGGGGTAGCGCACTACGGATGTATTGCAGGGTACGGCACCGCTTACTTTTTCGTCTTTGTGAGTGACGGTATCGGTTGGAGATGGTGCTACGTGGTGCCATGGGGTTGTTGTCGCCTTAGGTTCCTGTTTCATGGCGAATCCAAAATTATTTCATCGTCGAGGGCAGGTAGGGGGGGGGGGGAGGAGTAAGATTCAAATTCTGTTCATTGTTATTGAAAATCAACTTGAAATCTAAAATTTCCTATAAAATGTTGATCATTTTTTAGGGATACCATTTATGTCATGTAAATATATCAAAAAGAACCCCTTTTAAGGTGTGTGTACCAAAGACTAGATCAAATTACCTTTCTTATCAAAAGAGGACCTTAGATAGTTAATGTAATAATCATAAATTATTCAAGTTACTTTCTAAATGTGACAGGGACTAACTTCATGCTTTTGATAATCCAAAGAGATTACTTTAACACAATTATTATACAAAAATTAGTATTACCCTGAGTGCAGAAGGCAGACCCTAAGCTGAAAAAAACCCCGCCCACTATTGTCCACCTTCGTAAAACTCAATTATGAACACGATCAAAATAATAAGGAACTTCGGGAAATAAAGACAAGGACAATTTTAATACTCTCTTGTATCTCCCATAGAAATAATGTTCGGATTACATAATAGGTCATTCTAATGTTCGCACATTCTATGAATGTGATTGACAAGGGTCATTAAATTGCCTTAGGTAGAATTTTCGAAAGTCTTCACGATTATATTGGTGATATTTTTTCGTGGTAGAGTCTACTGCTCTCGTCGGCCTAACGAAATGAAAAGCAAATCGGGCAATACCATTAATTATTGTGAAATTCTATTTTTCATAATCAATTTCTTCCAGTCAAGAACATTCCGGCCATCTTGGAAGCAGCAACGCGCTGGTCTGAGGCAGATTGTGTGGTCTGTCATGATGCCCTTGATCCTCGCCAACACGTCACGCATAGCCGCTTTGAACGTTGGAGCGTACAACATCACTCTCTATTATTTTCCTGACTTCAATGTGGCTTTTCTGGGCTGGGTCACACTGGTGTCGTCCTTTCCGGGCAGTATCTTTGGTGGGCTCCTTTGTGATATCCTGCGAAGAACTTCCGATATACGCGGACGGCTATGGCTCAACCTTGTTCTGATGGTAATAATGATGATGTATCGAAGCTAGGCTCTGCATGTGCACATGCATTAAACTTTATTTAAACTGCGCCATTAAATAAGAAGACTTCTAGGCATATACACGTCCAGGCGAAATTCTAGCCACAGACACAGCCCTCGAAGCAGGATGCGATGGCCTAGTGCGAGGTCTTACATTAATTGTGAACGAAAATGACTTGGACTGCAAACTTGAGTTCAAACACGTAGTAGGTCCATGTGCTGGTTAAAATAATCTCCAAAAAGGAGCTCATTCTGAACATTGCTATGACAACTTCAAGTTCAGGTGCGGCCGTCTTCTGTAGTGGCAATTTCCCACTGCTTACTGTGGCATGAATGGGTACTATAGCCTAACATGGGTCATTACAGTGAGGAAGTAAGTGGCGTCGTGCCGAGGGTGGGATCTCCGGTCTTTCTACGTGGATTACATGAAAATTTAAAGGTCAATGATAAATGGGAGGGGGAAGGAGGGAAAAGTAGCGTCTTCTTTGAGTGTTCTCTTTCCGCTATTCTTTTCCTTCATTTTCCTGTCCTGTCGTTTTAGTTTTATTTTCACCGTTTGAGAGGGCAACTTGACCCCCTCGATTCCCTCCTCACCCTCCAACTGTCAGTTTCGCTGCGCCACTGATTATGAGCTGAACAACCATTTTGACATGATTCTTTCTGATGATAATTATAATTGTATATCACCAGTATAATGTATTTTGGTTTTCATCTGCAGGTTTTCTCGTTAGTCGCGTCACCGCTGATCTCTCAAACTCCAGCTACGATGGCCGTTGCTTTGTTCGGC